ACTCTTAAGTCTTTCTCAAGAATTCACAGACTTTCTCCTGAGTATTCTGAATTCTCTCAGTCTGTTCACAGACATCATCACACTCTATAGTATACTCTTGCAGATTTCTCAAGATTATTCACAGATAAGTCTCAGTAAGTATCTCAAAGAGAATTTTATCTGTACTGATATGCTTTGAGTTGTTATATATAAACTCTGTGAGTGATAATTAATGTACTCAGTTATTCTAATTATAATTAATAAAGCACTGCAGATATTATTTTACTATACATATCAGATATTCTATCTGATTATCTGTCTGTTAATAAAAAGCTGTACTTAGATCTTATAAGATCTTCAGTATAGTTATTAAATCAGATCAGAACTCTTCTATACAGATTGATTCTCTATCTAAGATAATATTTACAGATAACTTATACAACTGAATTACATTGTGAATAAAGATATAAGTTAAATTCTTTAACTTTAAGTTCTTATAAGTGAGTATGAAGTGTGTTATCTTAGTAAAGTAATCTACTATCATCAGCATACTGTTAAAGCAGGTATTATATATATTCTTACTTTCAGAGAGACTTATAAGAGTGTTTATTTCTAGCTATTCTCAAGATTTTTATAAGATAAATAGAGAAGTGAGTTCTTTATATAATCTGAACTGTACTATTCATAAACTCTAATAAATAGTATAAGAATTCACTATCTTCTTCATAAGTTCTTATATCTTTGATTAGAAGTATTTCTTTATAAGTAACTTATAAGTTCTAGTATCTGTAAAATGATCTGCTAGAGAAGAGTTATAATACCTTTTAATAAGTTCTATATATAGAAACTTATTTATAGAAATATAAATTCAGTTCTCTTTTTATAAGAGATTATTTAAGTCTTTTTAATTCTTTATTTCTGCAGAATTAATCTCTACTGTAAGTAGTTTTTAAATATACTGAGTATATTTATTCTTCAGTTATAGTTCAGATAATCTGAATAGAAGATTTTATAAAGATATATACTCTGTTTCTTCTTATATCAGATCTTCTGCAGTGTTTCTCAAAGTCTGTAAATTCTTCAAGTTATATATACTCTCTTCAAGACTTCTTACAGAGATTCTCAGAGTGTTAACTCTCAGTATTATAGAGAGTAGTTATACAGATTTCTTCTCTCTCTCTTCTCTCTTCTCTTATAGAGAATTGAGAGACTCTTCAGTTAATTTCTTTAGAACACTTAGTCTGAGTATTTTATAAAGCTTTTCTATCTTCTCTAGTCTCTCTATATCTGATATTCTGATCTTCTTAATATAGTCAGATCTATGAGAGAATTTATCTACTGAGTTCTTAGTTCTCTTAATATACTCTAACTTGAGTCAGAATTTACTCAGTCTCTGAACTCAGTGAATCTGCTACTACAAGAGTTTCTTGATTAAAGTAAACTATTATAAACTATTATAATTAGTTTTAATAGTAATCACTATTACAAGACTCTTAAAATAGTGATATCAGTGATAGAAGAATTTCACTATTATAAAAAGCTTCTGATTATAAATACTATAATTAATCTCTGTAAGTTATATCTTCTATAAGAAAAAGATCACTGAAACTCAGTTCTTCTTTAACTATAGTTATAAGACTATTTCTAAAATTATAAAGAAGAAGATATCTATCTTCAATCTAATTAAAAGTAAGAGATTAAAATGGAATAATATTACTATATCTATAAATATCTATTTTAATCTTATAAAGACTCTGTAAGTTTCTGAGATAAGACAGTTCTTATAGTTCTCTCTTCTTAATAATCTTTTTATTCTTTATTTATAGAATGATTTCTTCTTATTTTCACTTTTCAGTATATCTGAAAGAGCTAAGAAGATTCTTATAAATATAAAGATAAACTATCTATAGAAATTCATAAAGTATAGAAAGATCTGAATCTTATAAATACTAGTTAATTCTGATTATAATAGAATAGTCTTAATCTGCAAAGATTTTATCTGAATATCATCTACAATAATTATTTATTCTAGAAAATTAATTTAATAGATACTGAAGTTATACTTTATAAGCTTAATATACAGTTCTATCTTATCTAAGATCTTTAACACAGTTTATATATACTCAGTATATTCTTTCTTCTTTATAAAGTACATTATCACATTATTCAGATATATTATTGTGAAAATATTTAAATATATATGAAGTATTTTATTAATAAAAGACTGAAATACTGCAGAGATATTAGTTGAACTAAAAGATATTACTAAATATTCAAATAATCTCAGTACAGTTTTAAAGACAGTCTTTTATTCATTCTTAGACTGTATTCACAGCTATATATATATATTTATTATATTTAGTTATATGAATATAACAGCTTCTGTAAAACAGTTAATTATATTCTTAATTAAAGATAGAGAATAGTGAGTCTTTATTATCTTAAAGTTTAGATTATAATAGTTTATATATAATCTGAGATCTTTATTCTTCTTCTTTATAAATATTACAGAGACTCTCACAGAGATCTATAAAGATTAGATAAAGTCATTCTTCAGATTTTCTTTTATATAAGTCTGTAAGATCTCTGTCTCATAATAAGAGAGCTTATAGATTAATTCTTAGAAGAGTTTCTACTCTTCTATTAAATCTATTATCAGATTCTTCTCATAGTGAGATAAAAGCTTAACTGTCTTAACTAAACTAAATATCTTTATAAAATCTTAATATTTCTCTAATATCTGAAACTTAGTTTTTATAACTGCAAAGTTCTCAGATATTTATAAAGTTATTATATAGATAAGCTTATCTTCTCTAATTAACTTTATAGTATTAATTAATTCTATCTCTATAAGTAAGTCTATTAACACTGATTAAAAGTATAAATCTAACTTATAAATAGCTATGTGCAGATTATATTTTTAAAGTTATATAAATCTTAAGTATATATTATCTATAATATCTATAATAATCACAGTTTCTGTAAATCTTCTCTAAGTTCTGAAGAGATCTTATAATTTAAAGATAACTCTTATAAATATCTTAATTCTCAAATCTAAGTTCTCACACTCTACTTATTATAAGAGCAGATTTTCAATTTTTATCACTCAGCTTATTCACTCTATAAGTTTTAGAGATACTATAGTAATCTAAGATTCTGAGTTTATTAATACTTTTCATACTTATAAAATAGTAGTACTATAATACAGTTAGACTGACCGTGTAACCGTGTCTGAGACCAGGATCAAACTTTACAGTTATCACATTGCCTAAAAGCATTACTTCTGATCATGATTTGTGTTCATTACATTGATCTCAAATCATGTTATTTCAAATATTAAAGATCTCAGATTCACTTTTCAAATAAAAATCTAGTTCTGAATAAAGAATATGTTTGAATTCTTAGTCACATTTTCATTCTAATTCTATTATTGAGAATGGTATTAAATGAGGTTATGAAATCACTTCTCACTTACATAATATTATAACATAGTGCTCATTTGTTGAAAATTCAATAGAGAGTGTTATCAAATATCATTACTTTTCTAAACACAGATTATAATTCATATAATTTTAATTATAAAAAAAATATAAAATATAAAAAAAAACAAAAAACAAAAAACAAAACAAAAACAAGAAAAAATCAGAATGAACAAAAAAAAAAGAAAAAAAAAAAAAGAAAGAAAAAAAAAAAAAAACAAAAGAAAAAGAAAAAAATAAAAAATAAAAACAAAAAAATCAAGATTGCAGGGCTGCAGCATTCTTAAAATACTCACTTCTCAGAGTCTTTACAATGTTCATCATCAACTGTGTATCTCTTATAGTGAGAATAACACAGCTGTGATGAGTCATTATCTTAACATTATCTAATAAATAATCAGTATATATCTGTATAAATGTGAATATTTAGAAAACATACACTTAAAAAGTATGGTCAGAGTGAACTCTGCTGTCACTTAAATGATATCAAGAGCAGAATGCTGAAATCAATGATTTCTCTCATTGATTTCATGAATAAGGCAGGTGAAGATGATCTTGAGAAATATAAGATTCTCTGACTTCTGATAAAAACAGATCTCACAGAGAGACTCTATTTTCATGATATCAGAGACTGAGTATTATCAAAAAGTGTTACTTTCATGCAATGTACATATACTTACTGTAACAATTCATTCTCTGTGCATGTGGCTGAGAGTTGCAGCTTTCTCATCCCACACAGCTCTCTCTGAGATGCTGGCATCAGTTTGCAACTCATGCAGTCTCTCAGTTCAGCATGTGCTGCATGTATACAGTTCTGCATGCTGAGACTGTGTTGGTCATTATAGCCTGGTGTGATACTCACTTTTTACAGGCCATGTTTCATTTAAGAGAGAAGAGAAGAAAGACACAACTGTGATTTTATTAAGAGAGAATGAATAATTAGTAATATTGAATGTAATTTGATTCTTCTGTATTTAAAATTTGATTAGTCTATACTCTTCAATTTGAGAGTTTCTAAGAGTGTTTTAATAGTTTTCATACCAGCTTGAACTTAGTGATGAATTGAAGAAGAAGAGAAAAGAGAGAAGAAAGAAATGAGAATAACTTATCTTTATAATATGAAAACAGAGAATCACTGCAATCATTCTCTCTAGTAACAAAGATCTGTTTTCTGCATGTATCTCTGATATAGATTATATGATAACTGTATACAAAGAATATCAACACTGTATGTATTGAATGAAGATGATGTTGCTATGCAACACTGAAGCTGTTTCTATATATCTCTGAAAGCTGTTAATATTTTCTTTATCTCTTTATATTTGATAAGTCAGTAATATATTTCAATGCACTTTTTCTTTTATTATTATCATTATCATCATCATCATTATTATTATTATCATCATTATCATCATTATTATTAACATCATCACTATCATTATCATCATTATCATCATTATTATTATTATTATTATCATTATCATATCATTTCTGACTGTCTCTTCTGCCTTCATCTCTCTTCAATACTCACTGAAATTAATCATGTCATCTCTCTTCAAATATTCTGCGGTTCTGCAGACCATCAAGGCGCGTGAGCATCATCACAGATTGAAGAAAGAGAAGAAGAAAGTGTTTAAGCAAGAAGAGACAGATTATAAGACACATTATAATGCCTTGAAGAGACTCTGTAAGAGAGTAGAATAATAACAATTTTAAAGTAATACTTCTGATAGATTTAGACTGAACTATGTATAGAAATAATACAGATGACACTGTCTGTGAGAGATTGAAGAAGAAGATAGTGAAGAGTCTCATATAGCAGTGATAAGATCAGAAGAAGTTCTGAGAATGATTTGAGTTCAAGATGAAGAGAGAGAGAGAGAAGAAGAGTATTACTGTAAATAAGTAATAGTAGAAGAAGATTAAGAGAGTATTAAAGTGAGAGATAAAGAAGTCAAAACTGATAAGTTTTTTATTTATTAAGAGATAATGATTTTTGATAACACTTCTGTTCTCTAATTGATTAGCAGAAGCTGACAGAGAAGAAGAAGATTGAGGCCTTGTTTAGGTCTCAAATGTGCTTCATGATTCATAATATTGAGAAGACAGCCCTGCTCTCTGAGCATGTCAATCTGCTTGCTGCTGAGGTGGAACCTGAGACAGCAGATCAGAAAATGCAGGATTTTGAGATACAGGTTGATCTGGCTGAGAAGAAGCAGCAGAAACCCTCTTCTGAGAAGACAGTGAAAAGAGATTTTAAGATGATTATCATCTCAGATAAGAAGAAGAAGAAGAAGAAGAAGAATGAGAAGTGAATTATAAAGAATGATAAGAAGAATGAGAAAGAGAAGTAGATTTTTTTCTTTTTATATTAGTTAGTTATAAGTTTAAGTTTTTAATTATTAATAATTAAAATTGATTTTGAGTTTTCAAAAATTATTGTACAAGTTGTAATCAAGTTAGAAATGATATATATATATATATATTTAACTATCATGATTCACAAATCACTATAATATATAAGTATTAACATTTTTTCAACATTGATATTTATAATATTAATATATTTTTAATGATATTATCTGATAATACAATTTAATAACACTCTCTTTCACAATATTAATATATTTCAAGAAATATAATAGAGATTAATCAAGATTATTTATTTACTTTTATACATCAATGATATTCAATCTGAGTTAGTACTAAAATTATAACTAAGCTAAGAAAGAAGATTATTTTCTCTTATATTAATTCTTCTTACACACATCAGTGATCAGTTATTGAAAATAAATTATTATCTTTCTCAAATTATTATCATATTTTCTGAATTCACTTCTTTCACTTCTTTTACTTCTATTGAAGATTTATATACTCTTCAAGAAATCACTGTGAATCACAAAGTCTATGTTATTTATAATTCAATACAGAATGCTCTTTTTTAATTATAATAAATAATCACTTCATTCTTCACATCTGATTCCAGGTCATAAAATTTATAAAAAACTCAATATAAATACTGAGATGAACTATGAAATAATTATCAATAGATTGTATTACAGATTACTGAAGAGTCATCTCTCTGCTATAATTACTATAACTTTATTCAGAAACATTCATCATAAACTGATTATAGCTCTGAAGAAATTTCCTGACATCTGAAGTCATCAGAATGCAGATAATAAAAGAAAAATAATCAGAAAATTACTACTGAGCTGGTAAGTTACTCTATCAGATAATGATTTTTAATAACACTAACTTTGTAATTTGAAGAAAATCATGTAAAAACAATTATGTATCAGTACTCTGATTTCACAACTCTCATCTGATAACTTTCATGAATAATTACTTTATATATGTATATCTCTGAATCTTTCTCTTCAATCAATTGAAAACTCTGAATTCTGAACACTTATTCAAATACTTAATTCAAATCTTCATATTTCACATCAATTCTGTCTTCAGTTCAATCTCAAGATACACTACAAAGTCAATATACAATATCTAGAATCAGAGTTGAAGAATCATTGAAGAGTGTCTCTCACAGTGAATGCATGAACTAGTATAAATAATCTTACATTTATGAGAGTTATATGTTATTACATTGATGAGAACTGAACTTATCAAGAGATATTAATTGAATTTAAATCATTGATCAGTAGTCATACTGAGAATTATATAACAGAGATATTAATAACTGTGATTAAAAATGACTATTAAGATATTAGTCTCAGTCTTCTTACAATTATAACTGATAATACTGCAAATAACTACACTATGATGAAGAGCTTAGAGCAAAAATTGACTTTACATTTCTAAAATAATAAACAAGGTTATATTCTCTGCATTGCTCATGTGATTCAACTTGTGATATAAACACTGATAAAGAATCTTAATATTAAGATGAAGAATAATGAGATGACTGATTCTTGAAATGAGAATGAGATGAAAGTGATTACTTAAGTAACTTTTACATTCACTTTGTAAAAGATAATGTTTTTTAACAACACTTTTTAATATTGCTTTTTGATAACACTTTTTGATAATACTACTGTTAATTTTGAATAGATTGACTAATAATTTAAATATCACAGATTTGAAACATTGCTAATGTGATTTGTATCTTCTCTAAACAATAATAATGATTTCATGATATTCAATAAACAAACAAATCAGTCACATCACTGAATATGATATAGAATGTTAAAACACAGTGAAGTTCAATATATGAGATAACTGTTCAGACTCTTCAATTATATCAGACAATTGATTATTGAGTGCAACACTCTGATTGAGAAAAGATTCAGATATTGAAACTTTCTAATATGAAGTGAACTCAGTTGAAATATGTGATTGATTTACTGTTTCAGTTTTATAAGATAACAAAGACAGTCTCAATCACTTATATATCAATACTGTTCTCAGTCTGATGAGTGTATAACAGTTTATTTACTCATCTTGAGAAGCAGTTGAATCACTTAAAAAGAAATTCAGTCTGAGATAATGCTATAGAACAGACTATTATTACTGTAAGAAATAAACTGGCATATTACTACAGCAAAACTGAACAATCTTTTACAGAGTACTATACTGTAGCAGCTCTACTAGATCTCTCTCATTGAGTTAACATCTACACTTCTCAAGATTGAACAGAGAAGAAACAAGACTTATATATTAAATTAACTCAAGACTACTACAATGTCAACTATCAGAGATTTAAATAAGCAGATGTTTAAGATGTGAAGACAGTGAAATACAATTCCCTAGTAAGTAATAATCTTTGATAACACTTCATATCTCATAGAACTATAATACTAACTTTGAAACAGAACTTGCATACATTGATTACAACTGAAAATCAGGCAAAACTACATGCTTATAAAACTGAATTTGACTGCTATCTTCAAGATGATTTGATGAATTTACACATCAAATCAATTCTAGAGTTATGAAAAATTGTTAAGAGTATATATTCAACTGTTACACTGATGACATGTGATATTCTGACAATTTCATTGACAGAGATGAGAATGAAGCAAAAGTTCAACTCAAGTTAAGATATTTATCACTATTACTGAGAACAATTATAAGAAGAAATAATCAAGAAACTCATGACTGTAAAACATGAAATTATCAGACAGTTTAATATCTCTGATCACAGTATATCAGAGAAGTGTAGTTTTCATGAGAAAGTGAAGAATAAACTTGTACAAGAATGTATTTAGTTATTTCATGAGTGTTATCAATAATTATTACCAAATTCTTATTATATAAGCAATCACTGAATGAACTGAATGAGACTGATTTTGATCTTCAGTCTCAGTCTCATTCTGATTTTGAAAGAATAATCATCTTTCACAGTTTATTCTGAGAAATTACTCTCATTTCACTGTTCTTGAATTAAATCTGATCATTTTTCACACCATTTCTCTCAGAAATGATTCATTTTCAGATTTTTTTGAGGCTTGATCCTGGTGGGACTCACGCCAAGAAATGTATAAAACCAGACCAAATGAGATCAAATGTGAAATTCATGATTCTGTCAGCCAGTCTAAATACAGTCTCTTCTTATAAGTATATATTTTTATTGAAAGAGTAACAGATTTAGATATTAACTTCAAGACTCTTAAGAAGACTATTACTGACTCTATTTATAAGTTCTTAAATTTTTATTTTAATTTATTTAGATAGTTTATACAGAGATATTCTGATTTAAAATAGATAAAATAAATATTCTTTTTCTTAATCTCTCTATTATATACTCTATTTATAGAAGCTTATAAAGCTCCCTCTCTCTACTTAGTAGTCAGATTAGACTGGTCGCCGGGACCATGAATTTCACATTTGATCTCATTTAATCTGGTCTCATACATTTCTTGATGTGAATCCAGATCTTAAAATGAAACCATGACTCGAAAAAAATGAGAAAGTAGTCTCATTTGGTCTTATTTAGTCCCATTCTTGGCATAAAGTTACTATTTTTAGACATTTTAAGGTTTTTTTTAGACTATTTTTAATTTTTTAAAAAGTAACACTTTTTGATAACACTCAAATGAGATTTAAAGTCATTTAAAGCAATAAAAATAATTTAAATTGAGAAGTGGAAATCATGATCTCATTTGAAAAATGTGACAAGAGTAGACAGTAAGTCTCAGTGAAACAGTATGAGACTACTATCTAATGTTAAACCTGTGTAATGAGATCAGTTGAATTGGTAATGAAACTATCAAAAAATCTCATCCTGGTCTCAGACATGGTCACACGGTCAGTTTAAGTCAGATACAAATCTCTCTATATCTTATTATTTTTTTCTAGTAAATTTATTCTCTATTATTCTGATTCTCAGAGAGTTAATTAATAATCTACTCTCTATATATCTATAACTCTCACAGTAATCTGTAAATAGTAAATAAAAGTTATTAGTTTCTTCAAAGTTAGAGATTTAGAGTCTTACTTAATAAGATTATTCTATATATCTTTATTCAGTCTCTTTATAAATATTATTATTCAGATCTTATTTCAGAGCTCTATTTCTACAGATCTTAATTTATATTATAATTTTATAAAGCACTGTGAGTAATCTATATTAAATTTCTTATCTCTTTTTCTAATATTAATAATTATAGCTCAGATATTCTCTATTCAGTTTATAGAGTCTCTTAACCTATTCTTTAAATAGATTTTAAGAACAGATTAGTGAGATCTCTTATAATTATTCTCTAAATAATTTAGTCAGTTCTTGACTTCAGTATAATAGAGATTTATTATTATATAAATAATAACTTCTTCATCTTTTATATTACACAGCTGAGCTTGTATATTAATTTTAAATACAAACTTATAAAAGCTTTTATAGATTATAATTCAATAGAAGATCTTAGATGATTATAACTTAAGAAAGTTTCTTTTCAGTTTATAAATATTTTTAAAGATTATATCTAGAAACTCAGTTTAAAAGTATTTACAGATAGTAAGTATTTATTATAGAAAAATAGCTTAATTCTATAGAAAATACTTAAGAATATTCTTTATTAAAATTGATTTATTTATAAGTTCAGAGAATTTCTCTGTTATAGATATAGAGAATAATATCTTATAAGTAATTAATAAGTTCTCTAAGACTTCTTTTATAAAGATTATTTATAATTTAAGTAACTGTTTCTGAGTGTCTGTAGTAGAGTTTATATAAATTAAAGTATATAAGTTTTTAATTCTTTCAATTATAATAGATAATTACTGATTAATAGAGCTTGAAATATAAGAATAAGTACTCAAAGATAATTATTCAGATATTTACAGCTTGATATAATATATACTATTAACTACTAGAAGTATTCACAGTAGAAAGATAAATATAGTAAATATAGAGATTAAATGTATAATAGTATTCAAGCTAAGTTATAAATAGTAGTCATGAACTCCAGTCTATATAGTTGTGTGTAGTCAAGGGCTGCTAACCCTATTAGTTACATGAGAGATAGGTAAAGAATCCGCGAGGAGCGGGATTTCTTACAGTATTTTAACTACAGGAAGAAAGACTTCTGGAAGAGGTGAGAAGGCAGAATATAAGAATCTTAGAGCATAGAGCATGGTCAGGTGACTCACACAAGCCTTGCCACCTTCATATCCACCTGCTCACCAAGCCTCTAACTTAGATAGCTTCTTCTTCTTCTTCAAGATTCAGTTTCAATATGATCTAGTATACTGCTGCTATTCATCCTGGTAAAGCTAGTCTTCGTCCTCTAACAGTCTGTGCTTCATTGATTGATTTATTCGTCTCAGCCGCCCTCAGGCAGCTATGTAGTGCACTACTATATACTCTTCTCCTTGGAAATTCAGTTATTCTTGCTAGAAACTTCCAGTTGAGAGTCCGGTTATTTCACCCACACCAACCAAATCACGGCTTGGCGTCCTGCTGGTCCGGACCGCGACGGGCGTAGCTACCAAACTGGACAATAAATGGGACGGAATGGAAAATCAGTAGGGGAGACCTCGATGCGATCCTAGACTCCAAGGGACAGACAACTAGAGTAGATCACCCACAGGCCCTGACGAGGCATTAAGATCGTGCATGTAATTAGACTAGAAAGGATAGATGAGAGTAGCTGTAATAGTGGTAGCCTGCATATCCCGATGAGGGAGAGGTCAGGATAGCTGATTCAATCAATCAATCAATCAATCAAGGGCACGGGCTTTTGATGGGACCGACTTTGCGTGCTCCTAGCAACACTCAATGGAGTGACTAGAAGAGGGAAAACATATACTGGACCGGTTGGCAAGGGCCATCATTTTCGTAAGAACAGGCCATGACATTCTAAAGAATAGGGGATATTTCCTCTAAGAATGACATCTGGCATGACTAGGCCACGATGAAAGAATAGGGATATCTATACGGTTCTCTACCTATGACGTCATTCACGGCCCACCTTTTGGCGGTTAAAGCTTAGCAAGCCCCAGCGCTGGATACGACTGGCAAGGCGTGGTGGGCTTGCATTTCTGCACTTGTGCGAAAAGGCAATTTTTGCAGTTTTGTACTTTTGCATTTTCACCTTTTGGTGATTTGTGCAATTTGGTCAGCATACATGATTTGACAGTCATCGGGCGCCGCCAGCACCGGGAGGCTGACAATGTCTGGCATTTTTCTTCACTTTGGGGAGAAATTTCTTCTCAAGCGCCGCGTCCTACCCGCCAACTAAAATTAACAATGACTCCTGTTCAACCCCACAGAATGCAGCACAGACACCCATTCGATAATAAATTGATAATACTATTTTCCGACTGGACGATGCTTTTGGCCTTGCAGGATGAAGGTCTGCTCAAATCCCAGCCCCATTTCTGTCCTTTGAAGCCTATCACTCGAGAAATTGCCTCTTAAGAGTTGTATGAAACTGGGTATTTCCTGCAATGTCTTATCCATCGATCCCTTGATTGGAACATGGGAGCTGGATATTCAGTGTTCGGCGCGTCCTGGAACTGCGTGGCCCCTTGCCCTCAACACCCCAACTCTGGCCAATTTTTCGAAATGATATGAATGATGTGACCAGTTATATTCTTCTCCGGATTGAGAACTACCAGTCAACCTTGAGTGTATCCCGGGCGGCTAATTGCAGTTCACTTTCTTTAGAGAGTCTCATGCTGGCCAATATATGCTTCTGGTTCAGTGCTGCTGCTCTCTCTTCTGAAAAAAGCATGCAGAGCTTTCCTGTTCTAATTTTATTATAATGGATGTTAAGGGCGCCAATTTCTCCCTTACTCTAAGCTCTCTCACTTCTCATCCTCGCCGCCAACAATGTCATGGCTTGAATATAAAGGGTGCTCATTTCCTGTCAGAGATGAGCTTCTTTAGGTACAGAAACAACGCGCTTGATATTCAGATTTCTAGCTTCTTAGACTTTGACTTTCCTCTTTTCCAGCAATCACTTTTGCATCTTCTTTGTCTTTTAATTATATCTTTCTTTTACTGCTGACTGCTGAGAGTGCTCCCTTTCACTCAATGAAAATTCTCATTTCATCAAAATGATCATGGCAAATTATCTCTCTCTATCTATTCTCAATGAACTTGTGTAATTCACTGAGGAGGATGCATTGTATGAAGATTCAATTAAGACAATGACATCAGATGTTCTCAACTATTATTTTCCAGCAATAAATGGTTTTACAGCTGCCTCAGAGCAAAATCAACAGGGGAATATCATGGATTTTATCATTCTCCAGATCCAATGATGGTTCCCCGATGACTGTGATGTTGTCAATCACACTGTAGCTGAAGTCAAAAGAGATACTGACTTCATCACAGCTGCATTGAAGCAGCTTGAGAATGCCCTTGAACAAGCTAATACTGAATTTAGCAGGTGCTGGGCAATGCTGATTCATGGGTGCAACTTTCAATTTTTTGAGTATCACATTCACCTGCCTGCGGGTGAACGGCTTATTCCATGGAGTCCTCTGAATCAACCTTCACAGAATTTGTTCCATGGTCGAAATGATAGCGTAACTATCAACTGGATGCTGTGTTATATGGGACAAAACAACACTTCACCAGCACGCTAGTGGCTGCTCACGCTGCCATGGAGATATCACAACGATGAGTATAGAAGGCTTGTTGAAATGCAACATTGGTGAAGGGGTATTGAAGGCAGATGACTTTGTATTTGCTTGTTTGCTAGTAGCTGATTATGCATATTCAAGAATATCTCATCTCAGGGGAATATCATGAATCATCCAACCCGTATGCTACACCGGCAAATGCGCCATTAAAGCAAATTGTAAAATTAATCAAGCGAGGTGGAATGGGGACAAGGTTTCCAAGCAATCGCAGTTCTGGGCAAAGATGAGAAGGCTTCCAGAACCGAATGCAGAGTACCTTGAGAGAACCAGCAACTGAAACTTCACAGTCTTCACCAGAAAACCGCCGGGTTATGTGATTGATGCCTCCAGGAACAAGTTCTGTGCAAAGCTTACTGTTTTTGCAATCAAAACAAATAACCTGAGAATCTGCCTGCGGTTCAGATCTCACACCGGCACATTCAGTGTGTCTACAGGCATAACAGGACGGGCAATAGACCCAGTTCTCGCGAGGTCTATTCTTCTTCCCACAGCAGGGCACGGAGTGCTTAAAACTTCATAGTGTAAAATGTTGAATCTGCGGAATTGATGAGTAATACCGCTCTTGAAAAATAAAGGAAGATTGTGACAGTGTCAATGCGCCCTCAGGACTGCAAGATCCGAGGATCAGATCCAAAGTTTCTGGTGGCAAACCAACTCTGAGATGTTCCCTGTGGGCAAGTGATGGTTTCCAGCACCACGAACTCAGAACATAGCTCAATAATCGAAACCCTGGGGAACAATGCTGAGCCGACATGTTAACAAAGAGGGGAAGAATCTGAGAGCACAAAACAGACTTGAATGAGATCTCAACAAATGCAACATGTTGAAGTGATAAAATAATTAAATGGGCGGCATCCTTGTGGGAAACCTCAAGGAAGAATTGAGCCTTGAAGATAGCTGCCAAGATCGAGCTTTTTGTATTGATATTTCCATGAAGCACAACAAGGTATCCGTGGAACCAGAAAATATCTGTTTGAGGCGCGTCCCAGTAAGGAAAATTTACCCTATTTTTCGGATAATGAATTTGAGAGTCAGATGATACTTCAAGATCCCATGCTGCAATACGCAGAAGGCCAATGGCAATTGTGTTAAATGCCATAGAGGGATATCGCCAAGTCATTGAATTGTCAATGAAAAATCGCCATATAAAACAGAAGTCGCGGGAAATCCTGAATTGTAGCTCATTCAGTGTTGTGAGTGGCCCAGGATGAATAAGAAGTTGATTCAGTACAACTTGTGGCGTCGAAGGCTCCCCTCCATCCTCGGGCTCTGATATCTCACCCAGAACCGGAGTTAATGAATCCAGCGTCAAGCCATGAGATCCATCCAGACAAGATAGCGGTATCTGGCGCGGAAAAGGCTGAAGCAAGCCATTGAGGCTCTCCCATCATGTGATTGTTAAGGTTCCGGTGTCGACATCGATCGTGTACACGTAGTCCAAATTCGACTGTAGCGGACTGGGAAAGGAAACTGACTCCCATTCCTCCAAGTTATTGAGTGAAGCTATGATAGACTTTATTCACTGCACAGTTTCTGACTTGTTTGGGGATTGGATACAGCTCCTTAGTTCGTGCAAGTGATACCATTTCCCTTTTGAGCGGTTTGTTAGTAAATAGCTATAAAGGCTGAGAAAATGGCTCGCGTACCGGCAGAACGTAAGTTCCATAGGCCTCTTGTCCCCATCTCTCTTATCAGTAAGAAAGCGAGCAAGATCGCTGTCGGCTTGGCGGTCCCTGGTTGTCGTAGAATGTGACAAAGGAGTCTTGGAATATTAACAGATTGTCCTGTAAACAAGGACACCTAAACCGGAGAGCAGCTAAAACAAGGGGATACATAGAATAACTATCAAACTAGGAGAATGATTGAGGAGCATGTTGAATGAAGCAGGGTGGGAATCAGTAAGTTGTGTAAATGTATTATATATTGTATTGCTTGTCACATTTTTGAGGGGTGACAAATCAAGTCATTGAGCACTAACATGTTTGAACATCCGGGCTCATAACCTGAGAGAGGTTGAACATGGTTGGTTGTTATTGTTTAACTAGTAGCTAGTGAAAGCTAAATATATGTGTGTGGGTCACGTGGGTTAAGGCTTGTGTAGTAGCTCCTGTAGCATCCGCCCTAGTGGCGTTGCCGTAGCGACCGCTCCGCCTACACGTGATCTCATATGTAATATATATAGCTAGCTCTTCCTACACGAATACAACAGATTAACCATCCCACAGGTTATAGCCCGGATAGCACGTTTTTACAAAGAATTACATTTTTTTTACTTTTGTTTAAAAACACCTGCGTAAGCATTGAATGTGTTCACCCTGAATAGGAGAATCCTTTTACCACATTTACATTGCACGTTTTGAGTGTATCTGCTTGGCCGGCAATTGGAATAGCAGAACCCTACAGTATAATATAACGCGTTTTTTTTCTTTTCAATTCCTCCATCCAACCCTCCTTTGACCGATGAGTGGTATGCCTACGCCACAGAGTGATAGAAGGAGAACTTTATGTTTGCATCCTCACACTCAGGCATCTATCAATGAAGAATCAGAGAAAATAGATACTACACAATACACAGAAGTCACAGAAGAGATCATGAAGTCATCTGCAAACAGCAGAGCAGATCATGAATTGAATGATGACACTTCAAGCTCATAAGCAACATGTATAGAAGCGCGACACACAAGTATCATGTCTAGAATGAGTTCAGATAATATGATATCAATGACATTCAATGACCTGATGATGTTCTGTGATAGAGTGAGTGTGCCATCAAGTAGTCACTTCTGCAGCAGATGATTTCAAATCTAAGATCTGTGAATATCAAAAGAATGTTCAAAAAGTCATGAATATCAAAGCTGTAATTATATTTGATAATAATAACTAC